CTTTGCCCTCCTAGGCACAGATGTCTAACCAGGGAAATCACGTGGCTGCACAGGATTCCTCTCCCACTCCACTAGCAAATGCAGAGCAGCACAGCCAGAGCCTCAGGAAAAACAAAATCTGTGAAGGCTTCAGGGTAACTAGTGAGCTGTGGTGCCTACCAGGTCCCATAAGCTCAGCTGGGTCCATGGTAAGTACTGGAGTTGTAAGCTGATCTCAGCAATGTTTTGGGCTTAAGCTTCAACTTCCAGAGGTCATGTAGAACAAAGCATTATATTCTGGCTCTGGAGTAGAACTGTGCAACACTAATTAGTAACCTTCCCTGCACTAGACTGCCACATAGTACTTCTAGAGCATCCTTCCACAGCACATTGAAAAATTCCTCTCCTGCTTACTAGGCTGCAGCATGGAATTAAACAGAGCAGGAGCAGCAGACACATGCATGGGAATGCCTTGGACACACACTCTCCAGTGCTGGAAGTCCCTCAGGAGCACTTACCTCCTCCCTAGGTGAGAATGAAGCCAGCTGTTTGATTTTCATGGTTTGGTGGTTGTTGCACTTCTTGCAGAGTAGAATTTGGCTGCTCACCCACTGCTGTGGTTTGGTGGGATCACAGAAAATCCTACTGCCCGACACGACGTGGTTCAGGTGTTCCATGTACTGAGCAGGGATGGGCTTGTTGTAGTCTCCATTCTGACAAAAAGCAGGAGGGGAAGCAAACATTAGATCATAAAATCAAAGCTGGGTCGACAATAAGATTCCCTAAGCTCTGTCAGGAGCTCTACATTCCATAAATTCACCTACGTATCAAAGTAAATAAAGGGACAAAATGCTCTCAGTCTTCTCCCCCCTCCACTGTTTCACCCACCTATACAGGCAGCTGGTGGTGCTGGATTTTGGCTTAAGACAGGCTTTGTTATTTAACAGAAGAGTAAACCAGAGAAGAATATCCACATATTAAAAAAGATTCTTAAGAGGTATGTCAAGGCTGCTTTTGCTTTTTAAAGCAAGAGAGCAACATTTGCCTTTATCACTCTCTAGCCACAGGTGCCCAGCATGGAGCTGTCAGACTGATATTCACCTGCATCACCTTAAATGAGGAGAGGGTTTTCCCACAAGCTCTGTGCCACCTCCCAGCCACCCCTGAGCACCTGCCCCAGTACCTCCTGGAAGCCGTTGTACTGCTCACAGTTGGGGCAGTCCCAGCAGTTGCGATTCCCGTACGGCACCACCGTGTCCTGGTTGCAGAACCAGCAGTTCACTGTCACATGGGTGGGTTTCTTCCTGTTGGGAGAGGAAATGTGTCAGGCATGGACACTGGAATCAGCTGATGTAGAGGAAAGCAATGGCTTTCTAAGAGGGAAATGCCAGAGAGATAGGAATAACAATCAATCTTCCCATTCCGTGTGCTTAATGATGACTGAGAGTCGTCATTTTAGCAATGAAAAATGGATTATTAAAGTAGAATAAATCCTGCACAGTGTTCATCTCTCTGTGCTAGTACCATGCCAGAACTTTAATAACAGCCTTGTGAATTATGCACTTCCCTGTTCTTTAGGGGCATATTTGGGGGTGCAAGTCCTCTCCACAATCAGCATTATTCTATGAGAAGGATAAAATAGAGCTGATGCTGAATACACAGGATTCCAGGAGAAGGAATTTAGGATCCACATGAGCTGCCCGTGATACAGGAAATCTGCTCATGGTTACAGTTCTATCTGCTCTGCTTGGTAGAAAATTTTTCAAGTACAAAGGCATATCACATTATCCCAAGGTTCAGGCACTGTAAACAGCTGTTCCTTCACAGCTTTAGATACATAAAGAACAGAGGAAACAACACATCCTCCTCAGCTTTTATGCACCAGAACTGAAGGGATAAACACTAATGACCTTGATCCATGAGCCCCTTGTTTTTTAAAGCAATCCTATTAAAACAACAGCCAATACAGACCAACAGCTGTGATGTGGCCCGTCCTCGCAACAGGTTGTGACAGATGTTTGAGCAAAGAACTTCAGTGGCCCAAGCTCTGATCCTGCCTGCTAAAGAAGGTCTGCATTTGTCTCCAAACCCAAGAGGGAGCTTCTTGGCAGGTCAAGGCAACACAGCTCAGCTGTCTGGGGTTATCAGAACCAGTCCCAGTCACACTTCCAAGGGATGGCAACTGCTCAGGGCCAGGCTGTGGCAGCTCTGCAGACAGATGGGCCCAGCTGCCACCAGCACAACTCCACCAAGTCCTCTGTGTGGCTCTGCTGCAGCAGCAGAGAAAGCAATAGAGCAGGAGGGCTCACTGAGAGCAACTTCTCTTCTTGCTGCTCCAGGAAATGTTCTCTGTAGCAAAACATCTGAATGCTGCAGAAGTGTTGTCTGGCACAGGTGGGTCTTCCCTTCTCTCTCAGCCATCACCTCTGTAGCTGGATGCCTACAAGTAACATTTTTCCTCACTCCCATTTCCACAGAGTATGCCTTGAAACTTGGTTCATAAAATATTAAACCCTCAAGTGATGCCTCAGCCTCCTGTTTAGGTACTAGCAATGAGGATACACTTGAAATGAAGCACTGAAGAGCCAGAGTGCAGAGAGGATTCCCTGCCAGATGCTGGAGAAAATGGCTGGAGCTACTAAGGTGACAGATTCTCCTCTCAAAATAGATGCAAACACCCACACCCCTCCTCAAATTTCCTCATTGCCAAGGGGGCTCAAAACAGTAACTGATGCAAGTTAAAAATATCACTGCTGAAACTGGCAGGTGAAAATAAAGAGTTTAAACCAGACAGAAATCAAGGTCATTAGAGTGAGTTATCCATGAAATACCACTGTCCAAAAGCCAAGCAAACCACATGTCAAAACAGCCATGTGAAGGGTAGACAGCAGCACCTGTTGGTGCTAGTTTCATCTCACTAGCACAGGAGGAAAAAGCTATGAAAATTTAACACAGACTTCAGCATGTTAACCACCAAAATACACATCCTACTGCACCTTGAGCACAGACTTTGACAGCAAACACTACCCTCAACTCCATCCTGAGGGAGGTCATTGCAGAGGTCTCTACAATCCCACCCTGATGCCACTGAGCACCATCCTCTGGCACCCATGGAAATCACACTTTATCCACCCCCAGTCTCTAACTTCCATGACATGACAGAGGAGGTAAAAAGCACTAATTTCAAGGATAACACAAGTGGAAAGCACAGGCCGAAAAATTAGTAAAGCATTCATGCTCTAAAGCACAGAAACAACCAATGCCAAACCCTATTTGAGAACTTGCTCATATCAGAGCCCAAATCCTCAGTATACTTGAGATATTTCCATCTTTTCCCAAACAGGATTCCATCTCTCACTCTTGAGGCTGAGGAAGTGCTACCAATGACTGAATTCTTCATTGCACTTCATTCTCACAACGTATGCAAAACAAATTGCTAAATCCTGGATTATGGAGGATAAAAAGCAATAATCCTTCCTTTCATGAACCTATAATCTGTTGCTATAGAAATAGGTGTAAAAAAAATCTCAAGTTCACATTTGCTGGATGCAAAAAAGAACAAAGAAGGGGAAAGGTCACTTTAGGCAGGAACATGTAGGTAGGGTGTTAATTCTAGTAAATGGACAGGACTTTAAAAAAACCACAACCACAAGACCAACAAGTACTGTATTTGGAAAGACTGTCAAATACAGATTTAATGACTTTGGAGCTCTCTTTACCTTGACTGAATTCAGGCAGCAGCTGGAGGCAGTAAGTCAGAGCACACACTGCTGCTGAAGTCAGATCCTGGTATGACACAGACAATGCAGACCCAAACATTTGCCATGTGCTCAATGCCTTGCAAAACACTAGGCAAATCACCCCTGAGGAGTTTATCATCTAGCACTGAACCAACTTCCCTGGACAGAGAACCTCCCTGCAAAGTAAAACCTGAGCAACAAGAAGTGATTGAATTACTTACAGCACAGAGAGATTCGATTCACAGCTGACTTGCTGTGCTAACTCCAATGTGTAACCTGCACACCCAAATAAGCTCCTAAAAATTCCCAGGCTTGGACAAATGGTTTTGAAGGTAGAAGCTCTTTGCCTAAGACAACACTGGTGAGGGGAAATACCTGCAGTAAACTCAGTTATGAGATCAACACCTGAGTGTTTGATACTGCTCAGGAAATACAACAATGGTCCTTTGTGAGAGGCTATTTCAGGTCACCTCAAGTCCACACTTTTAATGGATTGCTAGAATAACAGTCTCCCTGATAAGTGCTGGCAGCAATAAACTGGATTTATTAATGTTAGTTACATCTATTCCCTCCCCTCTTTTACTGCTAGGTCAGAAGATGAAGATGTTTGGTTCTCCATATTGCTAAGAGACCACAGGTGGATGTGCAGCTCTCTGCTGGGTTATCCTCATGCTCAACCAAGGATTAGAGGAAAGACCCAATTCTTCATTAAAAGTACTTAAAGCAGTACTCTTCATCCTGGCAGAACTGGATTACAAAGCAGTTAGACAAATTGCTTTGTATACAGGAAATCTGAAGGAACACCACATTAGGAAGAGAAGCTCTTCTGCATGGATCAGTGTTGATCAAACAACATTTGGTGGCAGTTTGACAGCCCCAAGGTACAGCCCAAGCATGACTGCAAGGTGCAGTCAGCATGACTGGGTTCCCATGGCAAGGTGCAGTCAGCATGACTGGGTTCTAAGCTGCTCACTGAACCAGGCAACATGCTCAGCTCACTGAGCTGCCCTAACTGCAGGTCCATCACCTGCCAATCCAGTGCAGACCCAACGCTAGACCCTTGTCCAATTCAAGAAAAATACATCACACCCATTTAAATTCCAGCAGGCAAACTGTATCATAAATGCATTTGCTGAAAACTAGCAGTTGCAGACAGGTTGAAGATTTAGCCACAAGACCAGATTTCTAGCACAGTGTCACAGGTTACAGTGCAGTCTGTCCTCTCCCAAGAGCCAGACTTAGTGTCCTCTTAACAAGGAATAAGGTGCCCAGTGGACCTAGGCAGGAACACAGACCCACAGTTGCAACCACCCTCAAAAGCTCTCAGAACTATGAAACTTTGGTTTTAGCATCTTTGAATACTCTGGAAAACACTGGCATCAGGAGGATGCTCCAGGAAAAGTCTCTGTTTTTCCCATCATATTCCCCGTGACAGGTTTCCCATGGCACATCCTGAGTTCCTACTGGACTCTTGTAGAGTGAGTGATGACTTATCTTGACTTCACTTGCAGCTGCCTCTGCCATCACTGACCCAGAGAATCCCAAAAATATGATCCTCATGGGATGCTCCAGATGGGGACTGGCAGCAAGTCTGTAGCTAACATCAAGGAGGGGCACAGAAGGTGAAGGAAACGTGGTTACAGCTGCTGCCCTCAACACTCCAACTTCCAACAGCACGTAACTAATAGGCAGCCAAGCTGTGATCTCAAAGGAAGACCATAATACATATCAGATTTTTCCAAACTGGCCCAAACTCATAAAGTTTGAACTCCTGTGTAGATCTGGACATCAAATCTTTTACCTCCTGGATACAAAAAGCAAAGGGAGCCCCAAGCACCTGCGTTTGACATCATGTCTGTGCCCCTTATAGAGCTGTTCCTGATGACTGCAGAACATTAATTTACCTAAGGCAGAATAAGAAATTGGGTAATATCAGAGTAGTATAGAAAACCACAAACATATAGCCCCAAAGCATGATGAAGGTCACCTCCTGAAAGAATTTACCGGCAGCCTTCAAGGACTTGGGAAGAAATGCTTTCCATTCCAGGGACTTTTTGATGAACTTGAGCAAAACAAACCTAACCTCCTCCCTCAAAAGGCATGTTAGCCTCAACTGGGTCAGAGCAATGCTGCCTGCTTCACTGGGGATTGCTTTAGGCCACTTGGCTTTCTTGGCTACCCTAAATATGTCATAGAAATGCCACGTCTTGTATATGGGCTATTGTACCACTGATCATTCATATAAACAGCAAATGCTTTAGAGCCAACCTTAAGCATCACATTGTGGATGTAGAAATATGCATCTAGTGCAAAGTGTAAACTTGAAGTGAACCTTAACACCAGGAGCCCTTGGGACTGTCTTTTCTCCAAGAGAAGCACTCAATAGATGAGCAGACTGAACTCTATGGCTATAAAGTGCCTCTTATTCTATATATACACCTACATTTATTTCATGCTATGCTAGATAAGAATCTGCCAAATTAACCTTTACTCCTTTTATGAGCTCTGTATCATAACATCTCTCCTGATGCTTTTCAAACCTGCTCTCCAATTGGTCTGGATTT